GAACCTTCCCTGAGGGGAGCACACAACAGAGAAATTAACATTTTATGGAAACCTGTAACAAAAAAAAGGAATAACAGAAGAACTGATTACCAGGATCCGACCCACTCGGCCCAGATGTAGTCTAACATTACCTGACTTTCATGGCTGAGCACCTCGCTTATACATAATGCTAATAGGATACCTCGCCAACAAAGGACCTCGCCTTCGCGCTACACCTGACGTAGCTACCTTTCTGCACTATATGTCACTATTTATCGATGTATTTTTTATTTTTCCTCTATACATTAAATCTATAATGCTTATACTGGAGCTCGAAAAAAGACGGTAAACTTTCTTTCCACGACTTCCTCCTGTTTAGGTCTCCCGACAGCTACAACCTTCTCTTCAAAGTGTATAGGAAACCTACCAATAATAATGATCTTATACACTTCTAATCACACCATCATATCCGTACTTAGAGAGATGTCGAAATTTGCTTCTTCTTGGGAGCTTTTCCCATCACCAGTCCTTGTTGCTATCAAGAGGAATGTACCTACATAACACACGCCTACATAATCTACATAACACAACACCACCCATGTGCCTGTTAGAAGCAGTATCAATATTTCCACCGTGAATATATCCTCTATCTCAGACCTCACTGTGAAACGTAGCCCCACACCTCTGTCTTCCACAACATCTTCTGTAGTAGTAATAGCAGTAGTGGTAGTAGCAGCAGCAGTAGTAGTAGTAGTAGTAGTGGTAGTAGCAGCAGTAGTAGTAGCAGCAGTGGTAGTAGCAGCAGTAGTAGTAGCAGTAGTGGTAGTAGCACCAGTAATAATAGTAGTAGTAGTATGTATTTGTAGTAGTAGCAGGAGCAGTAGTAGCAGAGGTATTAGTAGTAGCAGTAGTAGTAGTCGGAGTACTGGTAGTGGTAGTAGTAGTCGGAGTACTGGTAGTGGTAGTAGTAGTCGTAGCAGTGGTGTTAATCGTAATAGTAGCAGTAGTAGTAGCAGAGGTATTATTATTATTATAAATAGTAGTAGTAGTGGTAATCGTCGTAGTAGTGGCAATAGGAGGGATGAGAAGGAGGAGCAGTAGTAGAAGCAATAGTAGGAGCAATAGAAGAAGCAATAGTAGAAGCAGTAGTAGAAGCAGTAGTAGAAGCAGTAGTAGAGGCAGTAGTAGAGACAGTAGTGGCACTAGCAGAAGTCGAAGAAATAAAAGCAGTCGTAATAAGGTTCCTCTTTTGAGTGCGGGTTTTTGAGTTTTTGTGAAACGTAATATGTCAAGTGTAATGCTATCCTCGGTCATGTTATCATAACATGTTAATTATAATGTTAACTTCCATCATGATATCGTAACATGTTAACTGTAAAATGACCTCGGATATCTCATCATAAAATGTTAACCGCAACGCTAATCTCGCTCTTATTATCACAAAATGTTAATTAAAAGGCTACCTGGAGGGTGTTCCGGGGGGTCAACGTCCCGGCGACCCGGTCCATGACAAGGCCTCGCAGTGGATCAGGCCTTGATCAACCAGGCTGTTACTGCCGGACGCACGCAATCCAACGTACGAACCACAGTCAGACACTGACTTTAGGTGTCTGCCCAGGAGTCTATTAGTAATCCCCTTTAAGTATGCTGGGAGGCAACCGAACAGTCTTGGGCCCCTGACACTTATTGTGTTACCGCCTTGTGTACTCACATCCCTGCACTTTATTGGGAAGATGCTGCATCGTCTACTGGGTCTTTTGTTTTCGTAGGGAGTGATTTCTGTGTGCAGATTTGGGATTAATCCCTCTAGGATTTTCCAGGTGTAAATTATGATTTATCTTTCTCGCCTGCTCTCTAAGGGGTGTATGTAATGTTAAAATAACATGTTAATTGAACCTTTAACCTCGGTGATAGTATCATAAGATGTTAATTTTATTGATAACGTCAGTCATGTTATCAAATACGTTAATTGTAATGCTAATCTCAGTCATGTCATCATACCACGTTGATTGTAATGCTAACCTCGGTCATATCATCATAATATGTTAATAGTAATGCTGACCTCGGTCATGTCATTATGACATGTTAATTGTAACACCAATCTGCTCATGTCACCATGACATGTTAATTGTAATGCTGACCTCCGTCTCATCATCAGCTGAGTGCTATTTCACTGATGACTTTGTGCAACATGTAATGTTAAACAATTATAAACACAGTTAAATCATAAAGTTTAGTAAAACTTTCCATGTTGATGATATATATTGAAAAAAAACAAGTGAACTGTTGACAGCCATCTTTTTGCCCACTTTCCTCCCTTTTCCTCCTCTCCTCTTTCCTTTCCTCCTCTTCCCTCCCCTTCCATCCATTTCCCCTCCATTTCCTTCCACTAATCTCTGTTTTCCTTGTCTTTCGTCCACTTCTTTCCACTTTCCTAGCCTTCCCTTCCCTTTCTCCCCTTCCCTTCGCTTCACTCCCTTCCACTATATTTTGTTTCCTTCAACGTTCTTTCTCTTCCTTCTTGGTCCTCCCGCAGATCAATCATCCCACACAAACAGCGCAACATTTTCACTTGTTCTTTGAAGTCGATACAACAAAGAGACTTCCATATATACTGCAATACTCCTGAGGTATTACTACTGAAAACTGTTCAGTCCCGTTCTGGTGGCCGTTGTTAATCAATGAATATTTCGTAGATATTCAAATATTCGCTATCAATTGCTACTATGTTAATTTTCAGATGGACACGGACATTATGATCCGGTGAAGATCTACCAGGCTGCAACATTCTCGTCCATCATACTCCAGGCGCTGTACCTCATACCACCAATATACTCCAGGCGCTGTACCTCATACCACCAAAACTCAACTATTGTTAACCGGTTACCTTAAAGCCTTTCTTATATAATAATGTAGACAGTACCAGCACTCGCCTTCCAACACTTTCCATGACGTGCCCAACACTCTCCATGACGTGCCCAACACTCTCCATGACGTGCCCAACACTCTCCATGACGTGCCCAACACTCTCCATGACGTGCCCAACACTCTCCATGACGTGCCCAACACTCTCCATGACGTGCCCAACACTCTCCATGACGTGCCCAACACTTTCCATTACGTACCCTACTCCACTCAGCAACCTCGGATTTATTCAGTCTCTTAATTCTGAAGAGTTTTATTCCACATATAGACAAGAAAAATAGCAACTGAAAAAAATCTAAGTATTTTTATCTTATTTCATTCTTTCTACAGGTCCAGTTTTCTCAACAACTCACCGCTATTGTAATTAAATGAGGACTTTTTTTTCTTTGTACATACTTAGACTAACTTTTTCCTCTTCATAAAATTTCCAACACTCTTGGGGGCTTCCTTTTACTTGCATATAATTTACTCATCCTTCAGAGACCATCAGCAGATACATTTGTTCCTAAGTTATATATTTAACTTCTTCTGTCTCCTTTATTCGCTTTTAGGTTCTGCATCCTTGCATAGTTTTTGCATTGCAAAAACTTATTATGTGTTAATCTTCTTTCTCTGATGTCAAGTTTCCCTCACGATTCCATCAGTCAATTCTGTTTTCCTCTGTACCTGCCATTCTGTAACCAAACACCACTGTAGAATGTTTAAGTCATGCATTTTTAAATCCATAATACACCTTTTTGACATTCTTCCAATCTAGCTTAAATGTTTTGCAACTGATGCTCATACCTCTCATTAACAAACCACTTAATTAATTCTCTTTCAATTATCATTTACTAACATCCTGCTACAGTCCTTGTATATGTTTGTCTCTCAAATAAAAGCATGAACATAAAACAATCTAAATTTGCAGTATTTTATACTCTCAAATAACATACAAGACTCCTCTCATTACACAGTTCGTCATATCTCGTACGCTTCTGGTTGTATTTTTTAATTGTATTTTCTGTTGCCAAAAATCTTGGAGGAATCGCAACCTTGTTTTAATATTGCTTATTTGTGGTCAAATGTGCATTTTTATAAAATTATAGTCTATCCTAACCCAGCCTATACTAACCTAATTAAACCTAACCTGAACCTAATCTAAAATAAATTTACATGTCCTTTGGAAGTTAGAAATATCAGTAAGAGGTATCCCCCACATTCCATAACCCGAGCCCCTTAGCAAGAGACATGGATGTTATACCTTAACACTCTCAAGAGGCAAAACAGTTGATAACTAAAATACATGGTCTTATCTTGGGTATCTTTACTAACAGATGGTTCGCCCACTAGGCGCTTAATTAATAGAATTAATTCGAAGACATGAGAGAGGAGGGTTATACTGTCGACAAGCAGATGAACAAGTCACTTAAGCAGCCTCTTGCTTTTTTTATTTAGAGATCTTTCTCACGCCAGAAGTTTCATCAGCTGCATATAAAATCACGAGAATGGAGTCTTGTATAGTGTAGCCAATGGAGAAGGTAGTGTTGTAGTAGTAGACGTGGTCACATATGTGAGGGACCCACTACTGAGTACGTCTACAATTGCTGCAACACTAAATTCCTTGTAAGAAATTAGAGGATGCCTCTACAACTTAATTGTTAATCTCTGACCTACCTTATGTGCCTGACCTGCTTCGTCCCACCTACTTATGTTCATGTCTACTACTGCTGCATCGCTCCATCTCTTCTACTGGATCCAGGATAAAAAGCTGTGTTTTCGTGTTCCTGGATGAAACTGATATAGCCCTTGGTGGACCTTTTTATCGTGTTCATCAATTTGTAACTGTTATACATTTTTGCTCTCAAGACAAAGTAGTGGCCTGAATGTAGATTTCTTTAATGTAGTAAACTTTGGCTTTTTATATTCAATAAATCTACCTAACTAAATTTGTCAAACTTCACAATGGCATGAATAGGTAAGTTTTGATAATTTTTCAGTTTTCTATTATATATTCATATTTTACTATTATTACAATAATTTATTAATTCATTCATTTGAAACGCTCTAATAAAAGTAACCTTACTGAAATGTAAAAAAAAGTAATAGATACACACCTGACACCACCTCTGGAAGTGTTGTAGTTGAGTTTGTTGTTGTCGTGGTACCAGGCTATCTGGAGAGCCGTGGCGGTGGGCACACCAGACACACGACACTGCAGTTCTATAGTGGAACCCGTCCGGTAGAACTTTTCCTGCAAGACCATCCCGCGGCCGTCCAGGATCTGCACTGCTGCCTCTGATGGGAAAGCCACGCATAAATTTTGATCGTTAATAACTATTTTGTGAAAATATATATATGATGTTATTAGTGTCATAACTGATCAATGAACAGATATATCACACGTGAACGAAAAATAAATTATGGACTCGAATTTCTTTTTTTTATATTTTGACCTCAAACGAAAACCCTCTAAAAGCTACTTAAGAGTTTGGCCGATTGAAACCAAAATAGAGAGATTCTTTTTTATACTCCATGCTTTATTTTCTGCACATGTGGAATTTGTCGCATCAAATAAATTGAAATGTAGAATTGTTTGAAAATCAATCATCTATTTTCCTGCCAAACTCAGACATTCTTCTAGCAACTATAAATTAATTATACGTCTAATTTAGTGATGAAACCTCTATATGTTAATGATATATCACTTCTTATAAGAACTTAGCTAAGTTAAAGTTTGACATAGAGCAAGATAGTTTAGTATCCACTATTACTTTTAATCCCAGCTTACACAAATTGAAACCAGGAGTACCCACGTGTGCCACCCACCAGGGCAAGGAGGCTATCCACGCCGTTCATCGAATAACCCCGTGTACAAAGAGAGTGTAGACGAACGAACTCGGCCTAGTCACGCCGGTCTGTTAACAGCTAAGTTCAAGAGGGCGACTTACTCTACACTAGGCTAGTACAGTGAAGAACATTAACATTCGCTAATTACATTACAACGTGAATGAGACTACTCTCCGCTGTCACAGTATGTAAGGACTTAGTAATTTCTCTCCTATACAAAATCCACGCAGTGACTCAAGACATTTATTATAGTGTTTAACTGAGGTTACTAACCTACAGTGCTTGCTGACAGCACTATTGAATGCGCATTTATATGTACACTACTGACACTGCCCACGTGTGAAGGGTCTTCCACTACCCTTCAGTTCTTGAGAAATACTACTTCACTGGCCTTCACTGCACTGTGTCGAATCAGAGGTAAGCAATCCAGTTATCTGGAAATGGCAGCTTTCTTGGACTGGATTTAACTAATGACTTGATTGGATAATTAACTCTGGATTGGATAATTACCCTCTCTTCTACACAAGAATAGTTAACTTCAACGAAGAGTCCAAATGGTTTGTATACTGTCAAGATAAATATAGCTCCTCTTTCTCAGATTCAAACATAAATCATGCAAATTAAAATGATAAGATATCGATAAATGTACCTGCTTGAGAAACAGATAATTTTACAGACAGTTTGATAAAACTTACATATCAACTTTTGGATAATGAGAATTCTTCAAATTTACTCCACAACAGATGCCGCTTAGACATGTACTTTATGTTCCTCCTGTTTATGAGACACATAGTTCATTAAGTACTTGTGGGTCTGCAGGAAAAACACCACAGTTGTAATCTGTCACACTTTATTAGCAGCAAAGCAGCTGAAGAAAATAGCTGTAGTACCGAGTCCTGTCACTTTGTGTAGAAAATATCTCAGTTGGAAGTTCATCCAATATTTCAATTTCATCTTGACCTGAGTAATTTCTCCAGTGGTTCAGGAACTGAATTTCTTATTTATTTCATTTTCGCAATTTGTTTATTAGGTATCCCAAATGAGTTGCAATAAGAGGATGCCTGAATTTTCATTCATTTTCTTTAGGTATGTGTGAAGGGTCACCTTTCAGAGGCTGCCTGATATTTTTTGCATCTTCCTCCAACTTTTCGCTTTTATTTTATTTACAACTTATCGAATCAGTTATAGGGATCAAATTGAATAAGCAATTTGAACCCAATTTCAGCATCCTAGAATGGTCTGGATAACTTTCAAAAACCTCAGCGGCGTAGCCTCAAATGTTGAAAAAGGTTCCTAAAAAATACGAATATAAGAGAAAATGAAATTCTGATGTGAAGTGCAGATTTGATAATTTTATGTGTAAAATATCGTGATTTTTTCATTTTCGTTAAATCACTTGAAATCATTTTTTCTTCCTGAATGCATGATTCACGCCGTTATTGGGTGCCATAAAAATCATTTTGTGAATTTTATCGAGTAAATAGTGATAATTTTATTTAATAACTAAAAAAAAATCTGTTTGTGATTAGCTTTAAAATATTATTGAGGATGTACAGTGGACCCCCGCTTAACGATCACCTCCAAATGCGACCAATTATGTAAGTGTATTTATGTAAGTGCGTTTGTACGTGTATGTTTGGGGGTCTGAAATGGACTAATCTACTTCACAATATTCCTTATGGGAACAAATTCGGTCAGTACTGGCACCTGAACATACTACTGTATTCTATAAGAAGGATGACGCCCCATGAGTTTAGTAAGTGTATATTTGATTTTTTTTTTCTGAAAAAATAATAAACTTTGATTCGTTGGAATTACGTCAATTACTACAGAATGACTTTTCTGATCAGCTTCAAACTTTTACCATTGGTGGACATTATTAAAACACAGTTTGTCACTAACTTTAAACAATGTAAATATAAATTTTTCCACATTCATTAAGCAAATTGTTTCAAACGTCATGACTAGAGAATGTCACGTTCGATCGCCTTCAAACCCTAAATACTAGTAATAAATAACAAAAAGGCACAATACCGTGACTGGAACGATACACAAATAACCCGCACATAAAAGAGAGAAGCTTACGACGACGTTTCGGTCCAAGTCGGACCGAAACGTCGTCGTAAGCTTCTCTCTTTTATGTGCGGGTTATTTGTGTACCTAAATACTAGTGTATCTTAAAAGTATTTTGTATCAATTTTGGGCTGTATCGGTGCAAATTTGCCATATTTTAAAAAGATTTCAAATTGAAATTCATAAAGTCATCCAAAAAAATCAAAATCCGACGTTTTCTGGTGTATTTAGGTTAACGAGGAGACACTTCTATTTCTCGCAATATACTGAGCAATATTTTCGTTTCTGTCTCATACATTTTTTTAATTACTCTACACCATATTCGATCTGCTACAAATTTTAAACGCTTGTGCAAAGTATCTTGAACAAGGTTTATGGGAACTTTTGCATGTCTGGCTGGCCTATACACAATGCTACATAGGTCATTGCCAAAATTTTGCTTCCCTGTTATAGGTGGAGTCAGGTTCCTCCGATCAACACTATTGTATCCTGGAAATAAATGGTACAAAATACCGACACAATGGAAAAATAAACACATAAATAGTATAATGTGATCCTTTACTGACAACGTTTCGCCCACATAGTGAGCTTTATCAAGTGACAAACAGATCTGTTTGTCACTTGATAAAGTCCACTGTGTGGGCGAAACGTTGTCAATGGAAGATCACATTATACTGGTTATGTGTTTATTTTCCACTTTTATTTCGAAATGGTGCAATATTAGTATACTTTATTGCTTTATCTTGCCTTGATCCTACTGAGTGTCTCTTGATCCAAGGAACTGGATTTATCTTCCCCTTGTTTTGATATGAATACCTCTCTTTCCACAAGAGCTACATGACAGCTACAGGTTTAGCATTACCATCTAATTAAAATACAACAACTGTAAACATTATCCATCTTGAATAACTGATTCATCATATGAAATGATATAATGTTGTGTTGGTTTAGGCTGTGTAAACACAAACTTTGTGGGATTCTGTGCAAAATCTGGAAAATACATCTCTTCAGCTCTAAACATTTAGTGCTTATGTTTTCGTGCTCGGTATTATAATCACCCCAAGATCTTCTTCTTGAGTGAGGTTCGCAGTCTGTGGCCACCTAGACTATACTCTGTCCGCGGTCGTCTTTGCTCTTCCCGATCTTCATGACTTTGCATTTGGCAGGGTTAAATTCAAGAAGCCAGTTGCTTGACCAGGCTTGTAGCCTGACTAGTTCTCATTGTAGTCCTGCTTGATCCTTGAGGGATTTGAGTCTCCCCATTAACTTGACATCTCCAAACAAGAAGATTTCTGAGTCTATCCCTTCCGTTAGGTCATTCACATATACCAAAAACAGCACAGGTCCTAGGAATGACCTCTGTGGAACCCCGCTTGTCATAGGCGCCCACTCCCTTGTCACGTACCATGACTCGTTGTTGTCTCCCTGTCAGATATTCTCTGATCCATTGCAGTGCCTTTCCTGTTATGTGTGCCTGATACTCTAGCTTTTGCATTAACCTCTTGTAAGGGACTGTGTCGAAGGCCTTTTTGCAGTCCAAGAAAATGCAGTCTATCCACCCGTCTCTCTCTTGTCTTACTTCCATCACCTTGTCATAAAACTCCAGTAGGTTTGTGACACAGGATTTTCCTTCCCTGAAACTGTGCTGGTTGTCGATTATAATCTTGTTTCTTTCCAGGTGTTCCACCATTCTCCTCCTGATGATCTTCTGCATACTATACACGTTAGTGACACAGGTTTGTAGTTTAATGCCTCGTGTCTGTCTCCCTTTTTAAAAATTAGGACTATATTTTTCATCTTCCATACCTCAGGAGTTGCCCAGTTTCAATGGATGTATTGAAGATCTTTGATAGTGGCACACACAGCATTTCTGCTCCCTCTCTAAGGACCCACGGAGAGATGTTGTCTGGTCCCACCACCTTTGAGGTATCAAGTTCACATAACAGCTTCTTCACCTCCTCCTCGGTTACGTGTACTTCATCCAGCACTTGTTGGTCTACCTCTCTGTTCTGAATTCTAGGAGTCCTACCTGTTTACAATGTAAATACTTCTTTAAATCTCATGTTGAGCTCCTCACATATCTCTTGGTCTTGGTCTGACTTGACTTTCGATGCCATGTCATTCTCGTATTGTCGATGAGCCTCCCTTCCTAACTGTGCATATTCGTTTCTGGCTCTTCGGCCGATCTCTTTATTTTCCTGGGTCCTTTGTCTTCTGTACCTTTTCCATTCTCTAGTGCACCTAATTTTTGTCTTGGGTGAACCAAGGACTCGTTCTGGTCTTCCCATTATTTCTGTTTCCCTTGGGAACAAACCTCTCCTCTACTTCCTTGCATTTTGTTGTCACATAGGGCATCATTTCTTTTGCTGGTTATC